AAAAATATCTAGAAGTCTTAAAACCCTCTGGGCTTAGTAATGATACCACTGCCAGTCAGCCCTAAGGCAAAGAACTATTTACAAAACGTTATCCATCAAGCCACTAATTGTAAAGAAGGAAAGTTAGATGCATCCTCAACTTTCAATACCCACAGAGGGTTTAAGTATCTTAGTAATTCCTGGTTGCCCATATAGCCATTCAAGAGATGATAAACAGGAGCTCCTGGCAGCACAGAACGATGCTTACTGTAAAAGGTAGGATACTAACGGTATGCAGTGATTTTTCTCAGTAAAAACGTGCTTATGGGAAAAATTGGAAACAGTAGAAAATTCAGTAAAATTTAAATAGTGATATGGAATGATAGGTGAATGAAACAAATATTTTATCTCCCTCAGTAGAGTCAAAAACACAGTTATTTTTGAAAGAATATAAAATAAAAATTAGCAAGCAGCTTAAAAACAAGCATCAGGGCAGAGACAAAGTATGGTTCTCTGTTTGCTTGGCAACAGCAAAATGGCAGGATCCTCTGGGTCCCCGGCCCAGCACAGGACTGAGAACTTTATTGGTGCTCACTGAACGCGTGTGGAGCGATCCTGGCAAAATCCAGAGGCAGAGATGGAATCCCTGCTCCCCAGGAGTGGCTGGCTATCACACAGCAGTGTTGATAGGCAGGCACACGGGCTGTGATAAGCACCTGTGGGGGAAGGGTATGATCTGAATCCAGGTGGATGGCGTGCAGACAGGGCCAGGCTGGGGCTCCCACCCCCAGGGAGGAAGCTACTGAGGGACTGGACAGGGGAGGGGTGCCTGGTGAGGCCTGTCAGGGTTTTTCATGTTCCTGCAAAAGCTTCAAACGACTTCCACTCGGTGAGACCAGAAGCTGGAACAGCCAGACTAGGCCTTGCGCAACTCATTCATGGAAGACAGTGGAAACCCACCATCCTGTGCTAGGCGCTGTGCCCAGAGGGCTGGACTCCAGGGAAAATGCAGAGCAGCTGGGGTCCCAGGAGGACACTCTGGTGCTGTGGTGCCCCTCCCTTGCCACACTGCATTTTCTCGGGCAGGGGGCAGGAGGGCAAAGTCTGCCTCAGGTCTTGAGCGAGAGGAGAGGGTGGGAGGTAGAATGGGACACAGTACTGTAGGTGCCATGGAAAGCCAAGCTGGAGGAATGGAACGTGCAGTCAGCAGAAGCAGAAAAGAGGTCCTTGGGGCTGGATCTAGTGAGGGCCCACCAGTGGCCCCAGCCTGCGCTCAGGCCTTCATGTAGGAAGAACTCACCAGGCTGAGTGTGGCCTGGGTGCTAAGGTGGCATCACTGGGAAGAGAAAAGGAGAGCTTTCTGAGGGGCAGGGATGGGTGAGGTACTAACATGGGCTTCTGACCCTGAAGGGTTGTGCTGTGGGTGGGCACTGGACCTGGTCTGCCCACATGCTGTGGCTCCGTCCCTTTGAGCAAGAGTTTCCCAGCAGCTTAGATTCTGTACCTGGGCTGCCTGGGTTTTACTCCTGGCTCTGTCACTTACTACACATGTGGCCTGACCAAGTTATTTTACTTCTCTGTGCCTCAGTTTCTAGTCTTCTCAGACCTACTAGTTCTTAGGACCCAGCTTGACAGTCACCTCCTCCATGAAGTCTTCCTGCTGCCCAAGGTGAATTAGGGCCCCTCTTCTATGCTCCCGTAGCAGCTGTGCACAATAGCTTTCTTCCTGCATGATAGCCACCCTTTCTTTTCTTGTTTCCCACCCTGAGACTGTAGAGTTTTTGAGGTCAGGAGATGTTCTTGTGGCTTATTTTTTATTTTTGTATTCCCTCAGTGCTAAGAAATATTTGCTGAAATTCATGTAAAATGGAACAAATGAAAATAACCTCCCTCATTGAGTGGTTTTGAGGATTGAAAGAATCAGCCCTGGCTGGGTGTGGTGGGTCACACCTACAATCCCAGCACTTTGGGAGGTCGAGATGGGTGGATCACTTGAGGTCAGGAGTTTGAGACCAGCCTGGCCAACATGGTAAAACCCCATCTCTACTAAAAATACAAAAAAATTAGCTGGGTATAGTGGCAGGCACCTGTAATCCCAGCTACTCAGGAAGCGGAAGCAGGAAAAACACTTGAACCCAGGAGGCGGAGGTTGCAGTGAGCAGAGACTGCACTCCAGCCTGGGTAATAGAGCAAGACTTTGTCTCAAAAAAAAAAAAAAAGGAAGAAGAATCAAACTTGTACTAGAACCAGGCACCAGGCACAGACTGTTGTCACTGTTAATAAAAATTACAATAGTGGTCAGATTGGCTTGCAGAGAAACAGACTGCCCCACCAGTGACAGTGACAAAGCAGTGGAGCACTTGCTGCAAACATGCCCTCTGATGCAGGAGAGGCAGTCACTGTCGAGAATTAATCCATGATCACACTTGGGTATCTAAATTGCCAAGGAAGCTTCATCAGCTGCTACAGGAGTAGGCAGTGTGGCTCACCAAGTTCACAGCCAGCCACCAGTGAGAAGAGACAAGGCTGAGACCCAGAGACAACCAGAGGCCCCCAGGGGGCAGAAGGAGCGGGGTTTGGGCAGAGAGAACAAAGGCATGAAGGTCTAGGAGCAACGAGGCCTTTTCTAGTCACGAGGGCCATTTTAGAATTCATTTCTGCTTAATAGCACTTAATAAACATTTTTGAGCAATGGAATATGTTAGGTCAAATGGGGGATATAAAGAGAATTGACACAGAACCTTTGCCCTCGAAGAGCTCACAGCGGAGTTGGAGGAAGAGACCTAGAGTGCAGGTTACTAACATCAATACCACCAGCCCCCATAGCAATGGCAGCTCCATGCATCATCTCATATGCACTTCGTAACAGCTCATCATGAAGAGAAGACACCGCAGATCCAATGGGTTAAGCAAGTATCAAAGGTAACCAGCAGCTTTGTCTGACTACCAGGTCTGTGCATTCCAGGACTGTACCACTGCAAGACATGACTCTACTGTTGTTACGGGGCCAGAACAGGCAATAACAATGTGAGCCACTCCTTGAAGAGCAGAAGTCAAGCATTGCAAGGCCAGCAGTGCAGGCAGCGGAACAGCATGAGCAAAAGCCCAGAGGTAGGAATGAATTTGCAACTGCCCCAGCTGGAGGTCCAAGACAGCTGGAGGCAATTCAGGCAGAGCGGAGAGCCCAGAGCTGCTCAGCTGCTCCCTGTCTTTCTCCTTCCCTCTGCAATCTTGAGAAAGTTGATGGTTTCTACTTGTACTTTCTCCTTTCCAGTTCCTCCTGCCCATATCACCCACTGCAGTCACTCTTGCCAAGTTCCTCAATGCCAGCATTGCCAGCCTGGTGGCCACTCCTCAGGCCTTCTCTCGCCCTCTCAGCAGCCTGGCCATCTTCCTGACCTCCTCCCTTTAGAAAGAGTACCCTCAGCGTCAGCCAGGCGCAGTGGCTCACGCCTGTAATCCCAGCACTTTGAGAGGCTGAGGCGGGCGGATCATGAGGTCAGGAGATCGAGACCATGCTGGCTATGGTGAAACTCCGTCTCTACCAAAACAGAAAAATTAGCTGGGCATGGTGGTACATACCTGTAGTCCCAGCTACTCAGAGGCTGAGGCAAGGGAATCGCTTGAACCCAGGAGATGGAAGTTGGCGTGATCTGAGATCGTGCCACTGCACTCCAGCCTGGTGACAGAGCAAGACTTTGTCTCAAAAAAAGGAAAGAAAGAAAGAGTACCCTCAGCTCTATCAACACCTCCTCCCATGGTTTACTTTCCTCCACTCTGGCTCCATCCCTTGTGCCACCCCTGATCTTGCTGTGGCCCATCCTGGACCTACTTCTCATCAGCAGACTCCCTAGAAGACTCATCCCTTCTTGAGGCTTAACCACCACTTCCACGTGGGATTTCCAAGCCCGTATCTCTAACCCAGTGTCCACCCTGAGTGCTGGACCCATATAGCCATCTGCCTCCTGAACAGCTTTACTTGAGTGTAGTCTGGGAAATTTGTATTCAAAATGTGACCAGGAGACTCACTGGCTTCCTTCAATAGTGGCTGCTCCTTCTGGGCCCCTCTGTCAGGAGTGGGCATCACCAATGCTAGTTGCCCAAGTCAGATCCTGGGAGTCATCGCTAACATCTCTCCACACTGACATGTGGGTGCCACCTCCCTTTGACATTTTTTGAGCTTTTCTCTCCTTCCTATCACCATCCCACTGCTGCCATACAAGCCTTTATCATAGCTCCTGGAATTCCTTCCACAGACTGCCCAGTTCCACTCTGGCTGCCAGAGAGGTCCATGCAAAATGCAAATTAGCCCAGGTTACCCTTGTTCAGAAGCCTTTAACAGCTCCCCCATTGTGCGGGGGAGAAAGCCTAAAGTCCCAGCCTCTTTACTTCACACATACCCACTGTGCTTGGCCTTGAGCTCCAGCCAGAATGAAACTAACCAGCCTGGAACAGTGAAGTAGGTCTATCCTCTTTACCCTAATCCTCTCAATCCTATGAATTCTTGAGGCTCAGCTTGACAGTCACCTCCTCCAGGAAGTCTTCCTGCTGTCCAAGGTGAATTAGGGCCCCATGTTCATGCTCCCATAGCAGCTGTGCACAGTAGCTTTCTTCCTACATCACAGCCATGCTTTCTCTTCTTGTTTCCCACCCTGACAGCATAAAGTCTTTGAGACTAGGAGATGTTCTTGTGGTTTCGCTTTTTTTTTTTTTTTTTTTTTCTGAGGCAGAGTCTCACTTTGCTATCCAGGCTGGAGTGCAGTGGCATGATCTTGGCTCACTGCTGCCTCTGCCTCCCAGGTTCAAGCGATTCTCCTGCCTCAGCCTCCCAAGTAACTGGGACTCAGACGCGTGCTACCACGCCTGGCTAATTTTTTATTTTTAGTAGAGACAGGGTTTCACCATGCTGGCCAGACTGGTCTCGAACTTCTGACCTCAAGTGATTCGCCCACCTTGGCCTCCCAAAGTGCTGGAATTAGAGGCATGAGCCACCATGTCCAACCAATTTTTTTTTTTTTGTATTTTTTCAGAGTTAGGAAATATTTGCTGAAATTTAAGGATGGAAAGTGGAAAGTCTGGGGGTGCTCTTGAAAGGAAATGGGTTACTTCATTTGTAGGTGTTGAAAATGTAAAACACTACTATTTTTGCCCTTTTCTCTAATAAAATCCCAGTTGTGTTCAGAGGACAGCAATAGTGTTAACTGTACTTCTTAGCATCCTTTGCAGGGGATAGCTATGTGACCCAGGTTTGGCCAACAAGACTTAAGGAAAACAGCTGTGCATGCAAGGGAGAGATTTGCCCCCTTGATGTAAGCGTGGCTCCTTCCTGTTTCCTGTCTTCTGCATCTTTCCTGGAATTAGGAGAGGAGGCTGGAGATGGAGCAGCCATCCTGTGACAATGAGCCAGACATGGGGATGGGAACCGCAGGCTAAGGAATCTTGAAAGGCCTGGGTCCTGACCCCTGGACTACCTACTAGCAGCCTTCTTATTATGAGAGACCAATAAATCTCATTTAAGTCATTTTGGTTGGCTCTCCATTACATTTAGCTGAACTCCACCTAGTAAAGGTCAATGAAGGAAGATAAGCATCTGTGAGCATTTCTGAATAGGCTTTTCCTTTGGAGATGATGCTGGCACTGATGGGAGGCAGAGGGCCAGGTTAACAGAACAGGACTAGGTGAGGGCTGGAGAGGCCGATCCTCACAGGGGTTCTACCAGAGGATCATAGTTTGGCCTCAGAGTTTGAGAAAGAAGCTCCAGCCATGGTAGCCCTAAGGTGCCTGTGACCTTGGCCTGGGGGTTTTCTGGTCCCTGCTCAGTTCAACTTGCAAAATGGAGCTGTTGGACCAGACAACTGATCAGAAGGCATAGTACTTCCGGTCTGGGCTTTGGAGTCAGGCAAGGCTGAATTCAGGGTCCAGCTCCACCACTTGCTAGCTGTGTGGCTTCCAGACAGCTTTTTCAGCAGACCACTCTAGCACCCTTTTCTGTGGAGTCCAGACTGTAACAGCACCTAGACCTCTAGGGCTAATGTTGGGGCTTCATGAAATTATGCATGTGGGTGCTCAGCAGAGAGCCTGGCACGCCTAGCACATACCAAGTGCTCCATGCTGGTACCTGTCCTTGTGTTCCATGTTCTCCCAGTGGACAGATGGGACCTGGAGTTCATGCCTGACCTGGGGCTAGGGCTGGGGCTGCTGCCGGGCTGTGGGAAGCCTGTCTGAATGCACTAAGCTCTGTGGCTGAGTGAAGCGGCCAGAGGCCACCCACTGTTCAGCAGCTTTGGAATGCTGCCGTGTGGAGGGGCCTTGGGTTGCAGGTGGAGAAAATCCCCCAGACCCAGGCCAGACCAGGCCCAGAAAGGTATCAGGTCTTGGGTAGAAATAAGAAGCCCATGTGGTCCATCTATCCTGCTGCCTTTGTCTTAGCCAAACTTCCTGGGAATGGACGGCATCTTTTCCTGAATTTGGGGTGAGCTTGGAGAGGTTCCCTCTGCACGGGACTACAGGAATGAGGGAGCTGGAAAAATGCCTCCAGAGCTGGATTCCTCACTGCAGCGGCTTTTGGAAGAACCTTCTTATCCTTCCCTTTAGAAGCCTCACTGTCTCTTCTCCGCACTTGGAATCCTGGTGGTAAAAAATCTTGGAGAAAAAAAAACCCTCTGTTCATTCCAGCACTGAGAAAGAGGTAAGTGGGGTGCGTCCCGTTTGTCCACACCCCTCACCCCCCTTACCACTCCCCACAGCACTCCAGGCCAGACCCAGCCATACTGACACTTGACAGCCACTGGAGTTTACCTTGGCTCAGGTCCAGAGAGTTCGGGCCCAGCCCCCACCTTTTCACCTTGTTACTCGGTCCCCTCTCCAGCGCTAAGAGCAGTTTAAATATAAATCAGTCCTCAACACAAACAGAGCTGCAGCGAGTCTCAGAGCCATCACCGGAACTGAGGGCCCAGGTTTTCTGCGAGTGCAAACAAGCAGAGACTGGCTCCGTAAATCTCCCCAAGAGCGTCGGGAGCGGTGCCGGGGCTCCCCTCCACCCCCACCCCCTGCTCCCGACGGCCCCTCCAGCGCCCACCTCGGGCCCCCTCCTACCCCAGCCTTCCTCCCCGCCGCCCTGCCAACCTCTTTCTCCATCCCGTCCAGTCACCCACCCTCTCTTCGCCAGTCCCCAGGGGCCTCCCCCCTTGCAGCCTCCTGCCCCCTCCAGCCGTCACCTCCCCTCCCCGAGCCCGCCACCTCCCTCCCTCCCTCTCCGGCTCCCGGCAGGCGGGATCTTCTCCGGGGCGGTCAAGCCTCGCGGGTCGCTGCAGCGTCACACCTGTCTGAGGGGGCGGTGGCGGCGGCGGGGCGGGGGCTCGCAGCGCTTTTGACACCCGAGGAAAAGAGGGAGGAGGGAGAGCGCGTTTCATCATCGGCGGCGGCCACTTATAAAACTTCTGGGCGCGCACTCCTGGCTCAGTCTCCGCGCCACGAACCGCCTCCGGCCACCGCCGCCGCGCTCGCCTCTCACCCGCCCGGCCGCTCCAGCCCGAGGCGCCCCAGCCCCGGGGCCCGCCGCCCCCAGCCTCTCCACTCCGCTCCCCGCCATCCGCCCGCAGCCATGGGGCTCCTACCCAAGCTCGGCGAGCCCCAGGGCAGCGACGCCTCTTCTAGCCGAGCCGGCCGCTGTGCCCGCTCGGTTTTCGGCAACATTAAGGTGAGCGGAGTCCGCGGGATCGTCCCGGCCCGAGGCGCGTCTGGCGCACCTTCTCCAGAGCACCCGCGTCTGTCAACCCGAGCCAGGAGGCGCCGGGGACCCCGGGCTCCCTCCCGGGCCGCGCTCGGATCTCCTCCCCGGGCGACGCGTGCTGGGCGTGTGTCTGCCAGTGTGTGTGTGCGAGCGCGCGTGTGTGCACGGGAGTGTGTTGCGCGTGTATATGTGCGCACGCGTGTGTGTGTGCGTGGTGTTCACACGCCTTCATCGGAGTAGGTAATGGGACAATGGAAGTACCTGCTTACTGCTTACTGGGGCAACTCCAGGCAGAGTTCTAAGCTAGAGAATTGTCCTGCTCGCTGATCGAAAAAGGTCATCTCGAGGAACCCTTTTCCGGCCTCGGACGAGCGGTTACTTCGTCAATGGGATGGGCTTGGAGGTGCGTGGGGTGGGTGGGAAGACACGGGCACCTTGGGGGACAGGCTGGGCCTCGTCCGAGCGCCCTTGCCCTGGGGTGCGTGTCAGAAGGAATGTTCTCCTTCCCCAGGCTTTCCTCTTCTGCCAGCGAGGGGGGCTCTGCTACCTGGCTGTGCGGCTCGCCTGTGAAGTGGAGAATTCCCCCTCAGCGGGCAGCTTCCACAGGCTGGCAACCAACCCGCGTTCTTGGATTGGCTTCCTTGGTCTGGAAATGGTCCCAGGAAGACCACAGCTGTCACGGTTCAGTAAGGTCTAAGCAGGTGCCACTCACCAGGCAAGTTATAGGGAACGGGTGAGAAGATAGATAGGATGTTGACAGCTGTTAGGATGAGAGCACCTTCCCCAGGGGGTCAGAAATGCTTTCCACTCCCTCACAGGTCCAGGAGGACCTGGAATGGTTCAATCCACACTCAGGCTCTTTTGCCCATTCTGGCTGGGCAGAAGTAACAATGGAAGATGCCTCCTGAGAAGGCAAAGCTGCCGCGGTGAGGGTGTGGGAGACTGCAGAGATTGCAACAAAGCCCCTTCTGGTCGGGGTGGGATCATGGTGCAGAGAGGTTGTTTCCTACAACCATACAATCAGATGGGACTGGGTAAAGCCTCCAGTGGTGCAATTAAGGGGAAGCTAGATTACACAAAGGGACTCGGTGTATTGGGGGTCTCGGTAGATTGGTTATATGTGTTCAACAGAAAGGGATCTGGAGGTCAGAGTGGATCTCACCTGTATACTTATTCAACTAGGAACTCCACTCTTGCTTCTGCTCTTTCTGCGCCACAATAAATACAGAATGAATTGATTTTGTAGTTGGATATGAATAAGCAACAAAAATTTTGAGATAGTTTAAAATAATCTCCTCATTTTTGGCCAGACCTGGATAGAAACATTGTGTGCAGTTTTGGTTCCACCATTTTGGAGAAGTTTGATCAGAGAATTTTGGAACCTTTGGTATTTATAAATTCGGAATTGAGAGGAAAGGGTGGGGACTAGGATTAGATGGTCTAAAGAAAGGGGCCTCTACAGGAACCAGGGCGGGGCAATCTCCCTTCATTTTCATCAAGAAGGGCAGGAGGGATGGTGTTCCAGAGCAGGTTCCTGACAGTGAGGGCAAGGCTCAAGGAGACGGATCCGTGTAGACACAGCTTGGGTCCCTAAAATAAGTGTTTATGGCAGCAGTTTCTTTGGAGATTTATATAAACAAGATGATTTCTCACGTGTCGATGATTTAGCCACACGTACCGAGGGCTGGGCTCAGGCCAATTGGCCTCCTAAAGGAGTTAAGTACTCATACCAGTGAAGAGTTTTTCTAGACTCTAAAAATGAGATTCTGTTAGTCATCACTTCCTTTATTTCATAGTTATTGTAAAACCAGAGTTCAGAGCGACTTCCACTTAACTTCACTTAGCCTGAAACCACTTATCAGTCTTAACTTCACTTACCAGCTATCCCTGGATAGCTTAAGGCAAATCTTGAATCTCAAATTCCATTAATTAGAGTCACTTGTGCCTTTCCCTCCTGGGCAACAACCTGGAGCTCTGCTATTTGAAGGGAGATTTCCTCCCAATGAGAGGGCTTGTAACAATTCTGCCACATCTCGGTGGGGGGTGGGTTACACATATCTTGGGACATGTGTGACATGGTGGGAACGGGGACACTCAACCAGAGGGTCTGTCATTTGTCTGGGTTCCTTGTTGCTGGGACAGACTAACCAATTGACTTTGGACATTCCTGCAAAAATCCACATACCATATGGTTTAGGGGAAGCAGATAAAGCCAGAAGACTCCGATCCAAGGTCCCATCCCAGCCACCTACTAATGGGATGACTCAGGGAAGCACCTCTCACCTTTCTGGGGCCTCAGGGCCCTTACCTAAAGAAGTTGGTAATTTACCAATATCCAGCTCCTGGCACTCAATGAGGATTAGGTGGAAGGAGGCATAGGCAGAGAGCTTTGTAACCCATGCTGTGCTCTCAGGATTGGTACCCATCTGAGATCAATTCTTGCTTCAACAAATAGGATTGGTGCATGTTCAAACGTTTAGGAACTATTGTTCCACCAATTCTGTGAGGCATAGTTATTAGTTAAGAAATACTACATTTAATAATAATATGGATGATTAAAACAATAGTAATAGTGGCCAACAGTATTTGAGTGTATGAGTGTACCAGGAACCTTGGAAATATTTTATCCATATTTAATCCTCATTACAACCCTATCAGGTGGATACTATTATTGTCCTCATTAATAACAAGGAAAACAAGGATTTGTGAAGTTGGTCACATAACCAACAGGGGGTGGAGTATAGAGGAACCAGGTATGTGACATTTCAGAGTCAAAGACCCGAACCCGTGTTCAAGCTGGCCTTCACTATCAACACTATGCTGCTTAACACTGGTTTAGCAGGGATGTGCTTGTTCCCAATAGCCAGTGGTTTCTCTGGGCCCTGGAGACATACACATCCCAGCTGTGACCAGGGGGAGCAGCAGTGGTTGCAGGATGGATGCTCCCAGTGGCTAATGGGCTCACATCCTTTCCTTCTTCATAACTCTCATCTCCAGAGTGTGGCAGTTCTCGGGAGGATTTTATGTGCCTCCTCCTGCAGTAGTAAACCAGATTTAATCTACAGTCTCTGCTGCCTCTGGCTTAGAGGAATCTTAAGAAGCAGAGATCTGCTGCACTATCACTGTTCAGCATTCGGTGTCCAGAATGCTAAATTAAAAACAGGTTCATTCAGTGATTCTGAGGGTGGGAGTGAGAGGCAGATTTTGCATCTGACTTATCCTGGCAGCCTCAGGAAGCTGTCTCTCCTTAAAATAAAACTTGCCTTTGGGACCAAACTGAAGTTATCTTATAGAAGTGGTTGGTGACTGCTCCCAGATTTCAGGAAATCACACACCCAAAGCTCCAGTGTAGTGAAGTAATGTAAATTCAATCAGGGAGGGAACATCCCAGTGGAAACAGGGCAGGAGAATAATGGGAAGAAGGGAAAGGCAAACCTCACAGCTTGGCTTCTGTGGCCCTGGAGACTTCTGGCCTGGGAGGACCAAAAAATGGAAAAGAATTACTTTGTGTTGGCCTGTGTCCATCATTTCCTTAGGTTTCTGACCCCCAGCGAAGGGGCGGCATCATGGGCTTGCTTAACTAGTCAGTTTCCAGAGAAAAGCGCTCTATCCCAGCAACCAGATTCATGCTCACGAAAACACTCTCATGAGAATCCCCTGAGCCAAAGAATTCCTTCTCCCACCCAGTGAGCTAAGATATGCTCACTCCTCCCTAGGGGTGATGTTTCTCTAACATTGAGGACAGTGATTTTCTGTCCCCAGGCATCTGCCTCCTGAGAGGCCTGCTTCCCCTGCTTGTAGGGAGAAGGGAAGAGAGAACAAGGGGAACAGGTAGGGTCATTTGTGGGCCGTGAGTCACTTAGACCTCCTCTTCTTGGATGATGCTCAGAGCTCTCCTTAGCTTTCGGTTTATCACCTGGTGGTACTCACACAGAACAAGTGGAAGAGCGTTGTATGTTTTGCAGCAGACATAGCTCATTTCACCTCTTTCTGATCTTCGTTTTTTGTTGTGACAGTGACTACCTGCTTTTTCCATTCTGAGAGCTCCAGAAGTGATGTTGAAATGTTGATATGGGCACTTCGTCTTGTTTTGTCTTGCTTGTGTAATAGGCCAGGATGTATGCAGAGGAATGGAGGGGGTCCCTTGGCCTCGCCCATCTTCATTCTCCCTCTTCTCCACCTCCACTTAGTTTTATCTGGTCCCATGTCTTTAACCAGCCCCAGCACTTACTTCAATCCCCTTTCTGCCTGTGGCAGTGCTGGCCTGCAGAGAGCTCCGTTTATGTGCCAGAGCCTGAGAGCCAGTGATGGTGCAACTGAGAAGCAGCCATCCTGGGTCAAAGGAGCCTATCAGGAAGCTTGTGCAGGGCTGGGCTAGTTTGGCCCCTGCTCTGAAGTTAAGTTCACTAACATGTGCTTGACCATCCCATTGTTTCTGTTGAGGAAGGACATGAAGACACGGCTGTGTGAATGTGCACCTGCCTGTGTCCCACAGGATCAACACATGCTTGTCACTGCAGAACCTGGGGCCTCGTGAGCTGCCGTAAAGTCAGCTGAGTTCCTAGTGCCAGATAAAATGATTGATTTCAATTTTAAAAAAGAAACGAAACTTTTTTTTTTTTTTTAACAATTATAGGCTCATAGGAAAAATCGTACTTAGAGGTCCTGCGTAGCCTTCACCCAGTTTCTGCCAGTGGTTGCCTCTTATATAATTACAGTATAATAGCAAAAGCAGAACACTGACATTGCTATCAAGTGTGTGTATAGTTCTGTGCCATTGCGTTACCACGAGGATTTCTCCCGTGCTGACCTATTTACAGTCACATCCCCTCCCTTCCGTGACTACCATCTTTAACCCGTGACAACCGCTAATCTATCCTCCACCTGTATAATTTTATCATTGAGAATGTTATATAAATGGAGTCAAACAATCTGTGACCTTTTGAGATTGGCTTTTTTCAATTCAGCATTATGTCCTTGAGGTCCATCCAAGTTGTTTTGTGTATCAATCGTTTGCTCCTTTTTGTTGCTGAGTAGTATTCCATGGTATGAACGTGCCATAATTTGTTTAAACGTTCACTTATTGAAGGGCATTTGTGTTGTTTCCACTTGGGGTCTATCACAGATAAATCTGTTGTAAACAATTGTGTAAAGGTTTTTGTGTGGACATTCTCATTTCTCTA